GCGCCGGAATTGTCCTTTAATGCTAAATCAAATGTGCTTTGCATCAGCATTAAAACACTGCTTCCTGTGAACAGTATGAATAATTGATTATTTATTAATTTATTTGAGAAAATCCCCATAAATCTCTGATCCTCTATGCCATTCCACCTACAACATGTGCATGCCTCGGTTGCTGATCTTTGATCGTGTAGTTGAAATAATTCTCTTTGCATGGTGTGCATGTGTCTTTGTGTTTGCATATGTGTACATATGTGCTTAAAAAAAAGCATGGTGCCTGCAGCATTACTGACTGTGAGTGGTATATGCCTAAGGAAACATAAGCACCAGGGGGTGGTGTGTGTGTGAGTCAGCATGTATGATACAGTGTATCTGAGGGAGTTTTGACAGCTGTCAGAATCGGTGCTCCTCTCCAGCTCCTCCAGCTGGATCCGGAGAAACCTCCCCTGCCTATAGTCTCCTGCTCCGCCCGGTGCCACTGAGTCCCTCCCAGCCACAAGGGGTCAGTGCGTTTATCCAGCCACTCACTGCTCTCCCCCCATTAATCCAATTATTTGTCTCTTTTTTCAAGTTAGCCCTGGGCGATGTTCATGCCGATGCTGCCTTTCCAGTGTGACAGTCTGGCAGAGTGAAACCTCTGGAGAGCAGCTGTCGACTGCTGCCTAACATGCTGCCTCACCAACAGCCTCCTCCAGCTATCAAGAGCTCCCATGCACGCATGTCACCATCCACAATCCCTTAAATTACCAATATGAAACGAAATAATGATGCTTTAAGAGATCAAAAAAAGGAAAGTGCTCATTATAAAAAACACAATTTGACCCCTGGGCAAATTGACCATTTGTTAAACCCCTCCTCTGAACAGCAATTGTCCAGTCATAGCTTAGCAACAGTACCTTGGCAAAGCTGGCCTGTCAGTTGGATTTTTCCACATGATAAAGCTGTCTAAATAAATATATATACAGTGTGCTTATAAAGAGTTTGGGTTTGAGTTACTTAATTTATCTATTTATTTAACCAAATCCAAAAGTATAAGAGCAAAAGTGTAATTTACAAATATTAGCATATCCTTCTAACTAGTCTACCATCTACAGCAGTTACCTGATCAATCACTACAGCCATTTGTGAGGTGAGAAAAAAAAGAAAAAAAGCTATCTAGCACATCAAGGGTGTAGTATTTCCTCACAATGTGTGATCCTGTCATATGATAGTTGGACTAGCTAAAGGACCAGTGTGTACAACTTCTCTCATCTAGAGGGTACTGATGTTGCAGACTAGAAATGAGAAGCTGCTTTTCTGTCACCATTAAGACTGTAATCTGCTATGTGGGATTGGAAAACTTGACAGGTCTAGTAACAGTAGGCTAACTAAAGGAGGAAAAGCTTAGCAAATGGGTAATTGGTGTTTCAAACCAGACGATTACTGCACATAGCCACTTACTTTTATATGTTATTCTTGTGATGGTGTCTCTGTTCAGCATTCGATTCAGGAATGAGTTTGATGTCTCAGCAATCTGGATTGAAAGAGAGAAAGAGAGAGAAAAAAAGGGCGAGGTTAAAAAAGGGATTGATCATGTAATGAATTGACAGCCCATCTAAAATTAAACAAAATGTAATCCACTCAGTTCAGTACTTTAAAGGATAATGCAAGTGTATTTTCAATCTATCACCTTTAATGCCCATGTAATGTTTAAACCCACTGATGTATTTTGCACAGTGAGAAGCTCCTACACTCTCTTGTACTGCTGCTTTGCCTTCTGGAAAACAAAGGCTCCCACTGTTTTCAAGAAACCATTAAAAACAGCTCACAGACACACACTGCTGCCATGACAAAGCATAATCCATCTTTTTAAATAGAAAATGCATTGTGTTCTTTTCCTAACCTGACTTTTTAATGGATCAAAACAAGTTTTATTCTATCGGATCTGAATGTGACAAGATCATTGCCAGTGACCCCGCTACATGTTATCTTCCACTGTAGAAGAAGAAAAATGAGTAACATAAAAAGCTGCACATTCATTTCATGTTACAGGAAGGAAGGTTTTGCGAAATACGCCTGTCTTTCTGACCGTTATATGAGAAGAACATCAATTTCATGCTGTGCGTTACGGGCTAGAACAAGGTTAGTAAGTAACTCTCCCTAAAACCACACATAGTGTACAATTTATCTGAGTGTACAGGTTATTCAAAACAACATACAATGTATTAATTAGTGATTAAAGGTGTTAGTAAGTGTATTTTTGAACTGTGGACTAGCTGTTTCCCCTACTTCCAAGACTTAATGCAAAAACATAATGGTGGTATTGATATTATTGCTAACAACACTCAAATAAAAAATATAAAACAGACAAAACAAGGACAGCAACTCTGATAAGCATTATAGTTGCTAATTTAGCATTTTCCTATAAATAAAGAAACAATTCAATACAATAGTAATTCAGTTTTTTGCTAATAAATTTGACTAAATAGCTGGGTGCTTAGTACAAGGAGCGCACAAGTAAAATAAGTATTTTTTTTTTAATGAACAAGTACTACTTTACTACTTTTTAAAACTGTACTGTACTCAAGTATATTTTTGAGCCAGTAATCTTACTTTTTACTACTAATAAGCACCAGCTGTCTTGATGACACGAATACGACGGAGTAAAACTCAAAAGAAGAGGTTCCAGTGACAATCCCTGGCCACATCTGGCCCCTTTTTATAGCAAAATCTATAAAAGACAACAGTTACATGATGTAGTGCTTCCTGTGACTCCCAAAAACACAGAGATCTGTGTTTTCAAAAACTCTTCTAACCTTTGCAAGCACGTTGAAGTAAATTGCACATACTGTAGGTGAAAATGTAGCAAGCTACTTGGCGTTGAGTTACTTTTCATGTGTAATGTTAATCTTTGATGATATGGTAATGATAGTGGGGCTCTGGGCTTTTAAATTGGTGTGCCTCTGAAATCTGTCATGTCATGGAGACGCCTGAACCAATCTCAGATGCCTTTGCTAGGCCCCTGGTCCTGCTCCTCCCTGCACAGTGATTCCATTATTGAGCCACACCTGCATACATACATTACTGGCGTTAATCAGTGAGGGAGTGTTTTATAAAGAAGAGTAAATAACTAAAGTGAATTCATGTTACACTGCGGTGACTCCTCGAATCAGCCATCTGGCTCATTGACGTACAAATGATTTTCTGCCGGCTTGTAACCAGTTGTACAACATTTTACAGTTTCCCCAACAGTGGATGCTTGAAAGAACAGCAGATAAGCATTAAGATGACATTTCTTTCCAATAGCTGTGCATGGTATTATGACACTAAGGCTGTAACAGAGCACACAACTACAGTAAGGGTGAAGCTTATTGGTGAAAAGGGGGCAGTGTCAATGGAAGGAGACTAACAGGACAAAAGCATACATATTGCTCTAGGGTGTAATTGGTTGGAGCTGTTAATTGTGTAGATTTTCATTAGTTGCCCTGGAAACACATGCTGCCAATGACAAACAACAAACACATTCACAGTCATTGATGAAAGAGAAATCAAATTGCAGCCTTATTTCACCCTGAAGATTAAAGTCAGTCTATTTGATGCAAATCATCTGTATTCAGTCACACAAGGACATTGGACTAGTAAAACCAACCCTGGATCAACTTCCTGACAACCTCATTGGCATTGGACACAGGTCTCCAGGTGTTGAATTTTCCAATATGGATGTAATTCTTAGGATGCTGGGTTAGGTAAAATATAGCAGACATTTCTTGTCAAACCTTGCCACCATGATGATTCGGTGAGCACTGTCAAAGACCATAGAGACTTTATACAATTTCTCACACTTGTGCTTGGCAACTAAGTTCTGGTTTAGGGAGGGGAAATAATAGACATTGTGGTTATGGCAAATAAACTATTCTTTCGGGCAAAGATTAGGATTAGGCAACACAAACACATAATGTAAATGTTAGGGAAAGATGGTGGTAACTAATAGTAATAAAAACATTTAATTCAAGTCACAGGATGTGCACTCACGCATGAAAGTCAGACTCACTTTCAACTTTAGGTTACATGACTAATCGGAGATGTTCACAACCAACACTCCAAACAGAAGGGATGTGAGGCAGCCATCAAGCGCATGCGAACGTGTACATAGAAACAAGTATATCTCCGGCCTTACCTCCCTTGCCACATAAAGGACACACTACTGCTTAATGTTGGCACTGAACGTGATGTGTTAAATTGTCCAATATGGACAAAATCCTGGTCTAGGTAAAATATACAGCATACATTTTGTCTTAGACCATGACATCGAGACGATTTGGTGACCAGAGAGAACTGAGTGAAAAACAATCTCGAGTCACTGGCCCCAAAATCTGTAGAATCACTTTTAATTCCTGACTTCACTCTTACTCTGCTTGACCCCCTCCATTGTTCAGTGAAGATTGAGAAGTGTGGAGCAGCTCACGACTCTGAGACATGCTTGCTATATAGCTGAGGGAAGCACCTCACACTTCATGTGCACCCCTACGACCTCCTCTCTGCCTTCCTCTCCACTCTTTCTACCGCTCACTCGCCCTAGTTGGACTTAGCAACTCTAATTGTCGAGATGTCTTTGGGCGAAGTGATTAAAAAGAGATGTGCTCGTCCTCCACCTCCCCTCACTGCAACTAAAATTACTTAGTCTTTGACCTGTTCCCTGTGCTCTTTAGGCTGACTTTACCAGCCACTCATGCTGCTCTCTAGTTTTCCTGCTCCCTGTCTCCCTCATTTTCATAATTTTCCTGGAAAAGCACCTGAGGGGATTCAGTCAATCTCCCTCTTCTATTCTAGAAATGTCCGCACATAAGAAGTAGAAGTACATACTTAGGACAATATGGCTGAATGTCGATCAGACACAAGATCACATCGTGAAGATTCATATATTTCTTGTTGTTACATCAATAAACAATCAAATGAGTGAATCAGTAAATGAAATGGCCTTGTATTCACAGTAAAAGCCTACCCCGGTGTCCCTCAATTGTATATTTGGCTTCCACCGAGGTCCCCACGTAGCTGCAGTCACCCACTGCTGTCCTTAATGGTGCCTCACGACTCCACACCCAGAATGGGGGCCCTTCCTGGCATTCTGAGTCACAGTGATGGGATCGGAAATCTGACAAGGTCTTGGAACGCATGAGTCACTGAAAAGCGAGAAAATCGAGCTTCTGCTCTGAGAAAGATGTGGCTAATTACCACCTGTCTGCTCAGTGCTACTACGGGAGAGTCTGACCTGGTGAAACACGCTTAAGGCAGTGGGAGCAGAGAGATGTTAGCAGATAACAAGTGGAGTTGGGTGGGTGTGCAAGTAGGTGGCAGGTGAATGCATCTGCGTGTGCATGATTTTTTAATCTCTTGGATTAACAAAATTATCTTCCCTGAACTTCAGCACTTCACTGCTGCTGCAATGTCTTTTAAAGAATGTTGTGCAAGAGTATTTATCTAAAGCTTAAAAAAAAGGGGTCAACTTAGTGCTGGGAAAGGATTCTAAACCCTTTTTGGTATAATGAAAAGTTTTTTCACAAAGGTTTAATCTTAAAGCTTCAGGCAGCTTTTCAGGTTGACCACGAGTACTACTACTACTTTTAAATGAGGTCCAAAAATCACACAACATGGGGTGGCGTCAAAAACTAGTGGTTGTTAGTTAAGTTAAGTGAAGATGACAAATTGGAAAGACCACTTTGGAAGAGAAGTTTTCCTCGTCAGAGTGCTGATGACACCAGTTACAATTTGGAAGAATGGAGCAAATGTATGGTCTTATCTAGCTGTGACTTAAATCTGCTCTTTGGACTGTTTAAAAAGTTGATATATAGAGCTTACGTAGTGCACCTTTAAAAAATAGACTTCTTGGAAGTGCTATATGTAAGGGATAAGGTTTGACAATGTGTCCTTTATCAGGAATTAATGGACCATTAATTCATAATGACACCTCGAAGGGCATTATCCCGCTTATACCATGGTCACATGCCAAATAAGAAAAAAGGATCATTATTTTATATTTTTATGTGTTTTACAATCAATCAAAATCTTTAGTTTTTACAAGCCACAACTCTGTTTCTTTGGTAACACCTGAGGTCCTTCCTAATACCTGGAACAATCATTACCATCCCATAAGGTACTAACGCAATGGAAACATTGTTCACTACTCCAGTAAATAGGATGAACCTTGGATATAACTTGGAAACGGGAGACATTTCTTGTTCCGAACGGCTTTTTGCGGCAAATTCTACATAAACGCACAACGCCGCCCTCTAATAACGTTAGTGTATAATGTATTTACCCACCTCCGGTTAGGATGCTTGCTCCACACGAAAAAGTGCCTTGGCGAACAAAAGCGCACATCAGGCAGTGGTAGAAAGGGGAGGAGGGTGCCGCAAGTGATTTTTTTTACGACGTGTTGTGGAAATTAACATCCAGAGCTGTTAGGGGGATGCTCGTTGAGAAAACAATCGATGACAAAAGTGAAAACCAGAGAAGAAATGGCTAGAGTTGCCAAGTTCCCCTTTAACAAAGTTGCAAAATGGTAGGTGACTGGCAGTTGGATATTTTCCAAGGCTTGGATGGACATACAAATTGAATAAAAACTAATTGAATAACTGAACTGAATCAGTACAAAACACAATACCAGAAAGTAAGATACAAGCCTGTGTACACGAAAAGTGTACAGAAGTGAACTATGACTCCTGAGGAGCATTTGGCAAAGAGATATCCAATCACTGAGCTTTAAATACTGTTATGTATGGCACTAACAATGCATAGGAGTTTAAGATGACACTTTAAAACTAAATTTAAGGGTTGAATTCACCACAGCTGACTCATGACTGACTTCTTCAGAAAGTATTTAGAACCATCCACCATGCCAAACTGACAGAAAAGATATGTTTTCTCTGAAACTAAGCTGTAATAAGCAAAACTGGTTGCCATAACATACTATCATTATCTTATCTGGCTGACTCCTGTGTTTCTGTGTTGAGGGACACAGACTACATTTGCACGCATACTAATTTTCCACTATTCCTAACGATTAAGTCAACTATTAGGGGGCATCCCTAGTGCTAAATTGCAAATGAGGATAAATGAATATGAATAATATGCTAATTGATTTAAACTTCTCAACATTTTCACACACTCTCGTCTTATTTTCTCTTGAAGGGAGTTTCAAAAAATTCAATTTTTTCCTCTCTTTTCTGTAAAAAAAAAGGCAAAAGGCAAAAATGGATATAGAAATCAATATATATAGTTGTTACTAACATGTTATATGCCAGCATAATGATTTTTACCAAACAGCTACAGCTTAGTTCAGTGTATTTCAGGGTTCCCACTCTTTAAGAAATTATTTTCCAGGTACTCTCCAGGAGTTTTCTTGACTATAATGTCACTTGCTAACAGAGGGTCATATAATTTACCAGCAGACCTGGTATTGACACATTGACACAAGTTTTATTACTCCTTTTGTTATTGATGCAAGGTTCAAGATGAAGTGTCTCAGGTGACCAGCAGATTGTTCTAACTGTAACATTACTTTGGCCACAGCCCATAGGTTACAGGTCAAATTAAGTCAAATTAATTTAATTTCACATAAAATTATTATAATTATTAGTAGCCCATTAAAAGAAGTGTAAAGTATATAAACAACAACAAGCATTTTTCACTGGGACGCTCGACACTAAAAAAAGAGTTTTAAGTCGAGTTTAAATATCTATCTGAATGAAGGGCTAAAATACAATTAAAATTTTCCAGGACGAAAGAAATTATTTCTAGGATATTTGGTAATTTTCTGGTGTTTCCATGACTGGAAAACTAGTCTCTAAATTTCCAGGTTTACCAGGATGCGTGGGAACCCTGCATTAGTTTAATAAAGTATATTCTATTCTATTCTATTCTAGTTTAAATTATTTTAACATGAAAAATCATGTGAGGCCTTCTTGATTTTGAGGCGTGTAAGAAAACTTTAAAAATATACACAGTAGGTCTATAGCTCATTATCCTACATTAAAAAAGTATGCAAGCGTCGGGGAGAAGAAAAGACTGAATCTGTCAAAAAAGAAACCTATTATGTATGCTTGTTAAAAATGACAAAAAATACATAACACAGACAGAATTGATTTAAAAGATCAGGAAAACTCATCCTCAATCAACTTCCTGCAGTTTTTGTGTTCACTTTGTACAGTTTTTCGGTTGTTCTCTACTGTTATTGTTATGCATTGAATATAATATGAAATATCCATAGAATGTGAAATTTAGTCAGGGGTTGTCAGTTTAGCCAATGATAGAAAAGGGGTCCCTTCAGGAAAAAACACTGCTCTGCGGTAGCGAGATTAGCCTTACCTGCTGCAGCTACAGAGAGGATGCCAGCCAGAGGCTTGAATCAGAGCTCTAGCTAATTCAAATAAGGAGAACAACCAGTTGTTTTCTAACACAGTTTCTCATCATCTTTTGCACTGAGGATTTAACTGGATAAATTCAGTGTTCCAGGCTTTGGGAGTGCTCCAACTGTCAGAACATGGACAGGACTTTAATTTCCAAAAACATATGTGTTCATTTTATGTGTGGCACCTTTAAGATGCAATAAATTGGTATTGAAATAGCAACACATGAGTATAATAAAACCATTCTACATTTTTCCTATGGCAGTGCAGAGCTGCGTGCTGCTGTTACGGGGCCATTTCATCAGCCTTTCCTATATGCTAACCACACCTGCTGCACCCCCCTTCCAAAGCCCAGATCCCCTCTCATAGGTCCACTCTCCTGCTGGTTGGAGGGGGGCAGTTGAGGAGGGTTGACCCAGGTCAGCGTCTTCCTCAGTCTCTTCAAGACTAAATGATGGTCCCATTGACATTGGGGAGCTAATTAGCAGTTAGCAGCTGAACTTTTCAGGCTTGTGC